CAGTAAAGTGTGGGACTCCTGATTTCGGCTCAGGTTATGATCTCAAGGTCCTGGGATTGACCACCTCTGGCTCTGCCCCCAGCGGGGCGTCTGCTTGAGGATTCTCTTTCCCTCTCCCCATCTCCCTGTTCTCATGCTCCCTCTCTCTCTCTCTCACTTTGGTTCTCACTCTCACTCTCAAATAAATACATAAATAAATCTTAAACAACAACAACAATAAAGTATTGCCTTGGAAATAGACCAACAGATCAATGAGACCAAACAGCTTAGAAACAGACCCACAGAACCCTCTTACACTGTTGGTGGGAATGCAAGTTGGTGCAGCTATTTTGGAAAACAGTGTGGAGATTCCTCAATAAATTAAAACTAGAGCTTCCCTATGACCCTGCCATTGCACTACTGGGTATTTACCCCAAAGATACAGATGTAGTGAAAAGAAGGGCCATCTGTACCCCAATGTTTATAGCAGCAATGGCCACGGTCGCCAAACTGTGGAAGGAACCAAGATGCCCTTCAACAGACGAATGGATAAGGAAGATGTGATCCATATACACTATGGAGTATTATGCCTCCATCAGAAAGGATGAATACCCAACTTTTATAGCAACATGCACAGGACTGGAAGAGATTATGCTGAGTGAAATAAGTCAAGCAGAGAGAGTCAATTATCATATGGTTTCACTTATTTGTGGAACATAACAAATAGCATGGAGGACAAGGGGAGATGGAGAGGAGAAGGGAGTTGAGGGAAATTGGAAGGGGAGGTGAACCATGAGAGACTGGACTCTGAGAAACAATCTGAGGGTTTTGAAGGGACGGTGGGTGGGAGGTTGGGGGAACCAGGTGGTGGGTATTAGAGAGGGCACAGATTGCATGGAGCACTGGGTGTGGTGCAAAAACAATGAATTCTGTTACGCTGAAAAGAAATAAAAAAAAAAAAAAGAAAGAAAGAAACAGACCCACATAGGTATAGTAGTATGGTTCATAACATAGGGGACTTTTTTTTTTAAACTGGTAAATGGACTCAAAAGGGAGATGGCTAATAACCCCAATAAGAATTTTATATGTTATATATATAATATATAAAATTCTCTCATATATATATATATATATATATATATATATATATATGAGAATTATCTTTTTTTTTTGAGGATTATCTTTATAAGCCAGTAATTCTATATAAATATCCTTAACTCTGGAGGACTCAAGGACATGACCGCAAGGAAATGTAAATGTAAACCGACGCCCACTCCGGACTGACCCCCAAAAAGAGAGTTAAAGAAGGTCTTTGCGAAAGGTGAGCAAGAGGCAGTGGACCAGTGGGCCTGGGAGACACGCAGGGGGCGAGAATTCAGAGAACAGACACTGGGCTGGAGCTCCGCCCAAGGAACCGCCTGGGCTGTCAGAGCCCGAGCTGCTGGCATGTGAGGAATGCTTTGTGGAAGAGTTGTTTCTGGAATAAAACCCAGAGGTTCAGCGGTCTCACTCACCTACCATTGCCTTCCAAAGCCTGCTCAACCCCAGCTCCTCCACTACAAAAAGAAATATCACTGTGGCGCACATTCATTCCACATTTCATAGAGATTTTATTTGCTATCAGGGTGCTTTTCGACAGATAGCAGGATCTTGCCAAACTCCAGCACTGAGTTGGGAAGCAGCTGAGGCTTTAAAATATCAGCATAAAAGGGCTTCGGTTTGTCTAGGGGTTGATAGCCCATCTGGAGAGAGAACAAAGCCCTGCTTGCTTTGCTCCGTGCCAGGCGACAAGGACACAGCACAGTGGTCCACTCTTGCATAAACTTATGCAGAGCCCTTTCTGACAACAAACTACCTACTCCTGCTATTATAGGAAAAGGAGCAAGTGTGACCTAGGATTGGTATCCTTAGGACATAGCTAATATATTCAGCAAACGTTTTGGAAGCAAAAACCTTGCTTATTATAGTGGTGGCAGATAAACATGTTAGAAGTATAGTAATTTTCTGAATGTAATTTTGATAACATGACATTCCTTTTTTCTAAAAATTATGCGATACACTGCTGTGTTGTATGGGTAAGGAAGCTTACACTAGGATTTTATGTGGATGACTATTTCCACAATTTTCTATAAACGGGACAGGAGAGTCCAAGAGAAAGAACTAAAGGCATGAGTTTGTTTCCTCATGTATCCATTTTCTACTTAAAAATTTCAGAGGCTTCCTGCAATTACAAAGTGAAGTCCTGTGCTTCTTAATTAATATGTCATACAAGACTCCTTGTGATTTGGTCCCTGCCCACCTTTTTCCTGTACAGGGAACCAAGCTTCCGGATTTACATTGTCTTATAGAAAAACCTAAATGTTAACTTGGCCTGTGGTCACAGGAGTGGGGGGAGTGGGGAACCTAGATTAACTGATGGATGGATTTATTGCTCCACTGACAGCTTGGGGAAAGTGAGAGCTGCTAAACTGGGTTCTCCAAAGGGCATCAGTCTCAGGAAGACAAAGAAAAGAACCAGCCAGAGAGAAGGTGAAATGAGGACCAGATTGTTGAATTTTTGTGTCCAAGGTTACAATCTGACTCACCCAATAGCAGCTACACTGGTAGACTTCCTCAGATAGATAAAATGTCACTTAACTTTGTTCCATTTTGTAATTTTTATGCTCCCATCTTTATATTTACTCTATTATATTGAAAGCATTCATCTAATCAAAGAAGCAGGAATGGGGGTCAAGAACGAGTCCAAGGTGTATAGTTCATGGAACTAGGTGAGTGGTAGAAGCATCTTCTAGAAGAGAAGCTTTAGGGAAAGAGGATGAATCATGAGTTCAGTTTTAGGTGCACTTGAGTTGAGGTGTTTGAGGGGCATCTAGATGGAGATAGCAAGTGAGCAATTCAAAAGAGAAATCTGGGTAGAAGACAGAATTTAAGTTGTTGGGAGTATAGGTAGCAATTGAATCCACGGGCATGGATGGGATTGCCTGGTGGCAGAACGTGGAATGAGGAGAGGGTAGGACAGTGCCCCAGGGCCCTCCCACATTTGCAGGCAGGTGGAGGGGAAGTGTTTGGCAAAGAGTAAAGAGAAGAGTCAGAGTAGGGTAGGGAAAATGGAATGTGTGGCATCATAAGAGCCAAAGGGAAGAGTTTCAAAAGAGAGAGTGTCAACTTGGTGGAATGATTCTAAGAGGTGGTGTGATATGAGGACTATAAATAATACATAGAGGGGCACCTGGCCCGCTCAGCCAGTAGAACATGCAACTCTTGATCTTGGGGTCATGAGTTCAAGTCTCATATTGGGGTAGAGATTACTTAATAAATAAAAGTTAAAAAAAAAAGAAAAATAGTACATTGAACTAAGTGATATGGAGATAACTGATGACTTTGACAATAACGTTTCCATGGAATGGCTGAGACAGAAGGTAAATTAGAGGGTTTGTGAAGAGAATAGTGGCTGAGGATAAAGAGAGACACTGTAGACAACTCAGGCCAGAGATCTGAGAACTAAGGGCAGGAGAGCAGTAGTAGCTAGAGGAGTATGTGTTTTCTAGACTTTTGTTGTTGTTGTTGTTGTTGTTGGGGGTGGGGGAGAATTGGCTGGCTTCTTGATTTGACTTCTTTGTTATAATGAGACTGATCAGAAGCATAAGTGCTGAGAGGAAGAGAATGAAATAAAATAAGAGAGAAAATAATTAGTATGCCTGAGAAAACCCTGAGGAGATGTAATACAGAGCACATGTAGAAGGGTTAGCCTTTGTTGGAAGAGGGAAAACAGTTGACTGCATGAAGTTTCCATCTAATGGATTCCATTTTTCTAGTGAAATGGGAAGCAAATGTACCTGAGAATGACAAAGCTGAACACTTGAAAAGAATAAAAGAGATTTTGTAAACATTTGAAGACCAGGCTGCCAAGTAGTAATGATGACCTGGGTCGGGTCACTGACCATTAATGTGTAGTGGTTTCCCCAGTTGTTCTCAACAGCCAGGGTGCATACAGGGAGAAGACATATGGCTCATCTAGGGTTGGGAGATAATTTGCAGGAAAATAATTGAAAAGATGGATTCCAGAATCTATAAGTAATAGAAAGAAAATGGGTAGAAAGGAACAATTGATGAACAGATTCATAAATTGATGGAGAAATGGAAGGGAAAGTCAACTCAAGTACCTAGCAGAAGAATAGTTGTGGTGGAGTACTTAACAAACAAGTTGAAGGAAAAGAGGGTTGTGAATGAATGCTAGATGTTTGCACCATTGGATTCAGAAATGGAGTAGTTTCAAGAACTGCCAAGTTCCATAGCATGCAATGGATGGATGAGGAAGAGTGGGTAATTCACTAGAGGGATAAATAGTTCATTCATATGGACATAAAGTCATGTATGCTGATGGATGGAGGTGGGAGGGCAGGGGGTAGGGGGCTGACCACAGAAGCCTCAGTGGAGAAGATATGACTAGAAGTCAGGTGAAGACCGGCACAAGGAATGAAGCACAAGTTTCAAAGTACAGAAGACTAGCCAGAGAGGGAAGGAGTAGTGACCTGACAGTGGCAATGGGGAGGACACTGGTCCACTGAACTCTGGAGCCACTTGGAGTGTAAATATTCCCCATTTGACAGGCTGACAGATGAAGCTTGTTCTCAGAAGACTGTCTAGGTTCAGTTGAAACAAAGAAATAGAAGGAATCTCCTGAGTAGGGTTTGAAGATACAGGGGAAGGAAGTCTCTCTTTCACGGAATGGTTCTTCCCCCATGCGTTCATAGAGCACGAGTTTGCCAAAAGTGGATAAATGGTGGCTGAGGTCGTTATCCCTCTCATGCAGAGACATTTTTTTCCCCATATTTCTACCTCCCAAAACCTAGGATACTGTGAAACACCTGGAATAAGTTTTTCTAAAGTGTTTAACTCTTATTGAAAATTTGCTCAGTCTTTTGCTGATTCTGCATTCTACTTTGACATTTTAAATACTAGTAATCATTATACAGTAATTTAGATGCAGATCCAAAAGAGTACAAGAAATTCATTTGTACCTGTATTTTCATCCATACACATTTGGTGATTAGATCTCTGTTATGAGCTTGTCTTGGTATCATTTGCTCCTTTTTTCCTAAAAGTGAAGCAGTAGAATGTGTTCTGGTTAATTTAGCATTTTGGTTAAGTTGTAGTTAATCCAAAAGTATTATACACAGAGATTCACTTTCACCATCCTAGGAAGGATTATGACGATTAATTAAGATATTACCTGTCATTTGGGGACTAGAAAGAGAATATAATAACAAAATTGTATGCAAACTTAATTTATCATTATAGAGAATGCTATATGTCCAGGTAATTCACTGTCATTAAATAAACAGTCTTCAATCACTTCTCCTAGTAAATCTGATGTCTACAAATCTGATTTTTGCTTATAACACTAACGAATGGAAGTCCTAAAATAAATGAAATTTTGGAGTCTGGCTTTAAAAACGCAAATCATAGCAATTAAGTAAAGCATCTCAAGAAAGGAGTTGGAATATACTCCTCCCGTGGAGATCTGGAAAAGAGATGTGTTTTTTACATTAAAAACTCGAGGAAGGGGGGTGCCTGGGTGGCTCAGTGGGTTAAAGCCTCTGCCTTCAGCTCAGGTCATGATCCCAGGGTCCTGGGATCAAGCCCCACATCGGGATCTCTGCTTGGCGGGGAGCCTGCTTCCTCCTCTCTCTCTCTGCCAGCCTCTCTGCCTACTTGTGATTTCTGTCTGTCAAATAAATAAATAAATAATCTAAAAAAAAAAAAAAAACCTCGAGGAAGAAATCCAATTTGATAAGGCATTAAATTGAGAACTTCACAATATCAATCTTGTTTTCCTGGGCAGTATGGAGATTTGTGGCCATCTATAACCATTTGTCCCTTCTTTCTTACTATATATCAGATCTTGGGAGGAACAAAGAGGTCTTCTAGTTACAAAATAACCTGCAAAAGAAACCTATCATTCAGAGTGGTTGTTCTTTTAAGGTTCCTGTACCCAATCCCAATGTTGTCGGGGAGGGACATGTCCCCCCATCACGCACACAGCACCAAGCAATTCTGGGACATCAGCAGGGTGTCAGGGAATTCAACTCAGTTCTGACGCTATCTACCTGAAAATAGCATCAGATTCCACAGGTTAAGAATTCCATCCCACAAGACTGCCTCCCCCACCCCCACCCACTTCAGACTCCAGGCCAGTGGCAAAGCCCAGGCTGTTACTCATGCTTCTGACCAATGCACTACAGCTTGGAGGTTTTAACAACCTCCACCCCACCCCCGCCCCACGCTTAGGTTCCCTTAATTTACTAGAGTGCCCCACAGAACTGGGGGAAACATTTATTACTATCAACAGCCAGGTGAGGAGATACAGTGGATGAGGTTTGGTGAAAGGAGGAGGAGCTTCCATGTCCTCTCCAGGCACATGTTGTCCCCGCATCTCCAAGCATTCCCCAGCCCAGAAGTTCTCCAAACCTTTGGGGTTTTATAGAGGTTTCATTACACAATCATGATTGACTAAGTCACAGGCCATTGGTCAATTCAACCTTCAACTGCTCTCCCCTCCCCAGAGGCCAGGGAGCAGGACTGAGATTTCCATCTCTCTAACACATGATTGGTTCTCCTGGCACCCTGCCCCCATCCTCATATATCTAAGGCATTTCCAAGCTCATCTAATTATCACAACACAAGATACTTTAATGCCCTTGTAGGAAACTTCAAAGGTTTTAGGAACTAGAAACCATAGACAAAAACCGAACACACAACAGAAATATGTTTTGGTCATGTGAATGACCAAATATATGTATTTCTTATAAATCACAATATCACAGTTGTCTTAGTTGATAATTTATCTTAGGTGATAACTAATCGTAGTAATAATGATGTAATTGACAACTCTGTATTGCTAACTGTAAAAATTATTGTAATATTTCTCTGTCAAATCAGATGAGCATGTTCCTTTTGAATTTAAATTAATTTTTAAAAATAAACTGCAAAAATAAACTATTGGGATTACAGTGAAATAAAAGCTTTTGCACAGCAAAGGAGACCATCAACAAAATGAAATCAATTGGGAGAAGATATTTGCAAATAATATATCTGATGTCATCAGGGAAATAAACATTTATTAATTAAAAACAGGGCGCCTGGGTGGCTTAGTCGATTAAGCATCTGACTCTTGATTTCAACTCAGGTCATGATCTCGAGGTCCTGGGATCAAGCCTCGCATTGGGCTCTGTGCTCAGCATGGAGTCTGCTTATCCCTCTTTCTCTGCTCCTCCCCCCACCAAGTATCTCTCTATCTCTAAAATAAATAAGTAAACATTTTTAAAAAATTATAACTTTATAATGGAGATTCTTGCAAATACCTCTTAACCAAGTGCTCAACATTTAATCAGAAACCCTCTGGGGTAGGTAATGTGGCCCTCCCAAGCAATTTCCAAATCCTAGTTGATGACACCTATGAATTACGTAATCTTACATGGCAAGAAACTTTACGGATATTCCTTAACATAGGGAGATTATCCTGAATTATTTAGGTGGGCCCAATCTAATCAAATGAGTCCTTAAAAGCCAAGAATTTTCTCTGGATGAAATCAGAGAAATATGACAAAGGAAGAGGTCAGAGATAGTTGAAGCATGAGAAGAGTTCAACCCACCACTGCTGACCTGAAAGTGAGGGGCCCAGGGACCTGAGCCATGTGGAAGTGAATTCTGTCAACACCTAGAATGAGCTTGGGTATAGATTCTGCCCCAGAGCCTCTAGCTAAGAGCCTAGCTAGCCAACACTTTTATTTCTGCCTTGTGAGACCCTAAGCAGAGTACCAATCCTACTGGATAATTAATTTACAAAACTGTTAGCTAATAAACGGGCATGGTTTTTTAACACAGTCTGTAATAATTTGTTACACAACAATATAAAATGAATATTCTCACTGCAGTGCATCACTGAAAACCCATCTATCTCATAATTAATTTTTGAACTGGCGTAAGAAATAGATACACATTCCATGAACCTGTCTGCATCAGATGTCCTGGGTCTTAAAAGCTATTGCTTCAGAGTCTGAATGCTGCCCTACTTGCCCCATGCACATTCACTCCAAATGTGGCTGCTGTGTATGAACTATATTTTCTTTTCTGTGTTCTTGATACCCTGGCACTTATTGATCCTGGAGACATTGTGCCTCCCCAGGGTAGCTAATTCCTAGGAAGTAAAGGACTCCCCTAAGAGTGTGACTTTCACATGCAAACCAACCAACCCAGAGCCTACACTTGCCAATTAACCTTTTTTATCAAGGTCCCACAGATCAAGCCAACAGTCCTCTGTCCTAATCACCCCAAGGCCAGGAACCAGACAACTCAGGACAGCCTTCACATACCAAAACCCACTGAAATTATTCAAACTAGCTCATCCTAAATTCACCTAGTCTGTTTACCTCACTTCACCCAGTCCTTCCTGAAAAAACAAAAACAAAAACAAAAAAACGCAATAAAGTTCTTGTCCATGCTTTCCCCTCATTCCCTCTGACTCCTGATCAACACTGGTACTTCCTGCATAGTCAGGCATGCATCCTCCTTTTGGGAACTGTGAGTAACGATGGCAATCATATTCTGATCTGCTGCCCTCACCATGCATGAATGAAAACAAAATCCTGAGTACATTTTAAAAACAGATTGGTCTTTTGTGAGATTAAGAGTCTCTTATGGTTTGTCTCCCTCCCAATCCCATATTGCTTCATTTTTTCCCTCCCTACCTCCCACAACCTCCCACCCTGCCTCTCAAATTCCTCATATCAGAGAGATCATATGATAATTGTCTTTCTCTGATTGACTTATTTCGCTTAGCATGGTACCTTCTAGTTCCATCCACATTGTTGCTGGGGGGTGGGAGGATAGGTATAGGGTGGCTGGGTTATGGACATTGGGGAGGGTATGTGCTACGGTGAGTGTTGTGAAATGTGTAAGCCTGATGATTCACAGACCTGTACCCCTGGGGCAAATATTATATGTTAATAAAAAATTTTTTTAATTAAATTAAATTAAAAATTAAAACAAACAAACAAAAAAACCCAGATTGGTCTTTTAACCACCCAGAACACAGCTAACACCACCAGGTTTTACCTAATGCACTAGGGGTAACAGAGCAACAGAAACCAGAGAGGACTGGGAAGCCAATAAAAGATGTCACTTTTGGAGCCCACACAATGGAACCTAATCCTACGGTCCCAGCCAGCCCAGCAGATTTCTAGGTTGTGGAAAGCTCAATTCCCATCCACAAGACTTCTGGCCTTGCAAACCTTCCATGTCCTGGCCCCTAATTCTTTTGACTGAATGACAAAAAGAGGCCCTCATTTCCCAATCCAGTGTGGCTCATCATGGGAACATACAATCCTTTAAGTAAAAGTCTCTTTCTCAAACTCCAAGGTGATCTCTGTGGACCAGATAAGGCAATCAAAATAACTAATGTTCATTTTCCCAAAAGCTGAGTTTCTCAACAATAAATTGTAGCATGTGCAGAACTCCAAATTTCTAATATAATTCCATATTTAGAAAATAAAGTATTTATCTACCTCATTCTGGGAGCAGTCCCATTAAAGCCATAATACATTTACTTGACTACAAAGATTATATAACTACAAAATTATATAACTACGAAGATTATATATGTTAATGAACTACCCTACATTTATATGTATGATGACTTTGGCATTTCCTCTGGGGGCGGGAAATGGATGCTTTATATTTGGAAATCCTAAAAATCTTTAATACCTTTCCCCAAACAAAGGAAGTCTGCTAGGAAGTTGGTCTCTATCTTCAGAACAATAAAACTGCCAGCCACCTACAAACAGAAGTTTTCTAACTTACAAACAAAATGGAAGTTCTTTCTTTTCTCAGCACCCTGCCAGCATGCTAATGGTTGCCAGGGAGCCTGGAGTGGCCATCCAGGACCACTCTTGTGAACAGTATCTGTTTTCAGCAGATGGTTTTGCTTAGAAAGGAATGATCACATTCATGAAATGAACACTCATAAAGCAGTAGATATGAACATAACACATGCAAAGAATCTATGTTAAATACTTTACTATATGACTATCAAGTTCATGTACATATTGTTGCAATTATCCTTTTTAATACAGGGCAGCACTTACACACTTTTGGTGAATACTTGGGAATTACCTGTAAAAGCTCTGATTTAAAATTCTAGTTACCATTAAAGAAACCAGACTTCAAATTAACAGTCTGTACAATCAGGGGTGCCTGGGTGGCTCAGTCAGTTAAGCATCTGCCTTCAGCTCAGGCCATGATCCAGGGTGCTGGGATCGAGCCCTGCATCGGGCTCCCTGCTCAGCAGGGAGTCTGCTTCTCCCTCTCCCCACTGCATGCTGTCTCTCTCTCTCTCTTTCTCTCTCAAATAAATAAATAAAATCCTTTAAAAAAAAAGTAAGTAGTCAGATTCAAGTATGAATTTGGAGATGTATGATCTGAAATGCAAGCATATTCCTTCCAAAACTGCATAATCTGGACTTAATCATGAGACGACATTAGACCAAACCCAAAACAGGGGACATTTATTATTTATTTAGTTTTTAAATTTTATTTATTTATTTCTTTGTTTACTTATTTTTATTAACATATAATGTAGTATTTGCCCCAGGCGTATAGGTCTGAGAATCATGAGGCTTACACATTTCACAGCACTCACCATAGCACCCTCCCCAATGTCCATCACCCAGCCACCCTATCCCTACCCCTCCACCCCCCTGCAACCCTCAGTTTGTTTTGTGAGATGAAGAGTCTCTTGTAGTTTGTCTCCTTCCCAATCCTATCTTGTTTTCTTTATTTAACAAGGGACATTTAACAAAATAATAGGCCTATGCTCTTCTAACTTGTTAAGATCATAAAAGAGAATGCCCATCTCAGGTAAAGACTAAAGACACATGGTAATCAAAGTGATGCATGATCTGGAACTGACACCTGGAGCAGTGGATAAAAGCAGATTTTTGTGGATTAGATAATAGTATTTTCTTAATGTTTGTTTTCTGATTTTGATCATATCTGAAAATTAATAAATGGCTCAGAAAAAATAATATGTATATGTACATACAAAGAAAGAGAATGATAAAGCAAATGTGGCAAAATGTCAACATTTCAGTGATCTGGGTACATCTGGAATTTTTGTATAGTTTCCAATTTTTCTGCAAACCTGAAACATTTTTTATTCAGTAGGCTCCACACCCAATGTGGGGTTTGAACTCACAACCCTGAGAACAGGTGTTGCATGCTCTACTGACTGAGCCGGCCAGGTGCCCTTGAAACAATTTTTAAAATCCACTAAGGCATTGTCCTTTTAATCCAAATAAACGTAAAATAGCATAGCTATACAGCTAACAGCAATCTGCTTTTTTCTTCCTGTTTCATTCACAAAGCAGTAAAAATAATTTTCCCTATTTTTCTCCTAATATTTTTGGCAAGTTCATTGCTTTATTCCCTTGACACATAATGTTTTCTTTCCTTGTTCCACCCACCATAACACTGGAAAACTGGTTTCTAAGAAATTCTGCACAAGACAAAGCATTAACATCTTTCCATCTAAGGTTGCTAATCTACAGGGAGCAAAATTCTTACAAGATTTGGGCTTTCTTGTTCCATTAGTATACCCCACAGATAAACCCAGCTGCATGAGGGAAGTTGTTCCTAGATAAGAAGAAAAAACTCATTTTCAAATCATGACAAATAATAAAAGAAGAAATAGAAAAAGAAGAAGCCAACAGCTCCATTAATCTAGCTCCAGAAACATGAGGCTTTAAACCTAGAAGGATCTGAGTGTGGGTTTGGAGCCTCTCCCCAGGCTCAGACAACTTCCAAACATTAGGTGGAACACTCCAGGAGGAGCCCTCTGCTCACATTAGAATAACATTGGTGTCCTCTGCTCTTGTTTTCTCTATCATTTTATGTTCTCCCAATCTTGACTACTATTACGGCAAGTTCCCCCTGGAATATAATGAAATGGCCCCCACAAAAATATGCAGTTGCCACTTGAAGATGAAGGACAACCTGAAGTTAAAGGAAAACCTATGGGATTCCCTTACCTTCAAGTAACAGTTGTCTGAAACAGGCTCCACGTCTGTGCCAGGTCCCTGGGGGAGTTGAGGCTACCTCAATGCATGCAGAATATATAGGGAGAGATTATATATCCGGGTTTTTCATTACAAAAGGTATTTTTGATGGGTTCTCAGCCAAGATCCACTTAAAAACAAAAGCCACACAAAGACTACAAAAAGGCCACACAAAGTTTAAACAAAAGGCTAAAGAAAGACCAAACAAAAGCCAAAGAAAGTTTAAACAAAGAGTGAAACAAAGACAAAACAAAGGCCAAACAAAGACAAAAACAAAGACTAAAACAAAGGGCAAAGGAAAATCTAAACAAAAGCTAAGCTAGGCTACAGCCATACCATACACACACACACACACTGACGCTATATCTTTACACACATCCACATATTTCAGTCCCCTACCTTCCACATCCCACATAATCCACTCCATGTGAAATCTTTCACCAAGGCACACTCCACACCAACTCCTCACACCAAACCATATGCCAGATCCAACCAAACCATCATACCAGCTCACCCTACCAACAAACCACACACCCTTCATCCAGTGCCCACACATGTGGACATGGAGATGCACATGAAAGGGAAACAATAAGAAGACATGGGGGGAAGACAGTCATCTATAAGTCACAGAGAGAGATTTGGTACAGATCTCCTCTCACAGGCCTCAGAAGAAACCACTCCTGCTGACACCTTGATCTCAGATCCTAGCCTCAAGAACTGTGAGAAAATACATTTCTGTTACTTAGGCCACCATTTGTGGTATTTTGTTACTGCTGCCCTAGCAAACTAATACACCATAGTCCCTGTAAGTACTACTTCAATTAGTTTTTGTATTTATCAAAATAATACCTGCATGAAGTTATTTACAATGGTATTAAAAGACTTCTGTGTCAACCATATACCATTTTAAAAGGCTTATGTTGAAAAACAATAGCCCTTTTTCTACCTCACCCTATTCCATAATCCCACTCACCAAAGGGAACCACACTTAACTTTTTTAAAGCTATTTTTTCTTTTTTTTTTTTTTAAAAGATTTTATTTATTTATTTGACAGAGATCACAAGTAGGCAGAGAGGCAGGCAGAGAGAGAGGGGGAAGCAGGCTCCCTGCTGAGCAGAAAGCCCGATGCGGGGCTCGATCCCAGGACCCTGGGATCACGACCTGAGCCGAAGGCAGAGGCTTTAACCCACTGAGCCACCCAGGTTCCCTAAGCTATTTTTTCTATATTTATTTCCACATTGCTAAATAATTCCATAAACAGCCATTTATGTACTTGTTTATTGAAGGTTTTTGGCTTCTTGATGAGGATTTGGTTTTCTTACTCTCTCCTCTTTGCTCTCTTGTCTCCTCCATCCACTGAATGTAGTTATCTGAATATCTATATTCCTATAAATATATAAATATTTCCTACAGAAACTTCTGATCAACTGTGATTTTTTTCTTTCTCTTCACAACTTTGTTTTTCCTGGAGTTAATAGTTGTCCTGTTTTTGTTTTCATTTGTTTATTTTAATTTGCTTAGTTTTTTATTTATGTGTCACTCATTTTTTTCCAAATATTCCAACAGATTCCAATCACTTTCTCAAGCATTCTAATATATCAAATAATCATTTCCATCTATTGTCTTCTGTAATTCTCTGTTCTTATGTTCTGTTTTGAGACTAGTTGCTCTCAAAGCCAGTGCAGGTGGGGGCTTCCTTTCATTGCTTTGCTATAAAGGATCACCCGTGCCCTGGATCCCATGTCATTCTCATTTTTTGTTTTCTCCCTCATTTTTCTGAAGCACATCTTCTAGTTAATCTTCCTTAGAAAGGAGACACACACACACACACACACACACACACACACACACGATATATCTCTAGCTCTAGCTCTATCTCTATCTATCTCTATTTCTATCTTTATCTCTATCATCTCTATTTGTATATCTTTTTGAGTGCTTGAATGCCTGAAAACTGCTTTGTTCTATTCTCACTACTTGGTTGCTTGTTTGTCTGGGTATAGAATTCTGGGTTGAAAATAAGAGCCAGAACTCTGGCTGTATTGTTTTTCTGTATTTTTTTTTTTCCTCTAGTGCTGTTGTTGAGAAGTTCTAGACCTTTCAGATTTCCATTCTTTTCTGATTTTTTTGAAAATCTCTGGAAATGTTCAAGATCTTATTTTATCCCAGTTGTGCTAAAACTTCCCCATTCTTTCAATGTCAGTCTTTTTTCATCTGCATTTGGTGGATCATTATCCTTTGGAAAATTATAACACTCTATCCTGTACTTTTTGTGTTTTTTAATTAATTTATTCCCTCTCATTTTCTTGCTTCTGTCTGAAAACTTTTATTAGTTGGCTATTGAAAAGTAAAGACAGAAAACTAAATTGTTCTTCTAAATTGTTCCTCATTCTTTTCTCTAGGAAACTGCCTATTCTTTGATTTTTTAGTTCTGCCCTTTATGACATTTTCTTATTTTATTCACCAAATACCTCCTATTGAATTTTATATTTTCTTTTGGAACCAGATTCTTAAATTCTAAGATCCCATTCTTATTTGCTGATTTTCCTTTTTTCAAAGCACATAGTCTTTTCTCTGAACTCTAAGAAAATAGCAATTATACTGTGTGGAGGTTCCTTTCTTACTTGTTTTCTTTGTTTGCTTCTTTGTTAGCTTTGTTCCTTGAACTGAGTTAGTGAGCTTACCTCAGTTTCCTTCATCCTTCTTTTGTTTTCATCTCTCTCCTTCTTGTTGAAAGCCTTTTCCTTTGTCTGGTGATCTTTTACTGTCCATTTCTGTCTGTTAGGCATTCAAGAGGTGACTGGATGCTCTGAGTACAAGCACAGGGCTTGCTGATGGGATGGACAGCCATACTGTCCAGAGCTCAATGTCTAAATGGCTGGAAGATTTTCCCCTAGGGTCATTCAGTTTCTTCAGGGAAGAGTAATCTGCTTTCCAGACTAGAAGGAGTAGGAAAGGTATGGGAGTTTGAACATCTTGCTACTGATTCTGTGATCAGGAGACACAAGAGACCACATGACTGTGTAGATGTGTCCCCTTTCCAAGCTCTGCCCATCTCTCCTGTGCTCTCCACAGATTCTGAGTCTTGAAATTTCTCCATAATAAACTTCCAGGGACCAGACCAAGTTGGTGCAGTGAAGCTTGAAATCCATTAGGAATGTTGGCTTCACCAGGCCTTTGTCCTGCTTCCTGCCATGCCTAGTGGCACATATTCTGGCCTGCTTTTTTGGAACATCAGCCCTGAAAGCACTTAAATTAGAATTTCCCCAACTCTGCCAAATCACTTACTATCCTCTACCCACTCTCTATATCCCCAAACTGTGTTATGATCTCTCACTTTTTAGTGTCTCCTTTTCCTGGGGTGCTAAAGCCTTGAAAAAAATTCTCTACTGCCCCTCTGGAATAAAATATTTAGTTCTTTACTTTTTTAAAATATACTTTTTACTGCTATAATTTTAATAATTTTTTGGAAGGGAGAATAGATAAAATAAGCATGTGTAGTTAATCTGCTGCTTTTTAAAATACATTTTTTAAAGATTTTATTTTATTTTTTGAAAGATTTTATTTATTTATTTGATAGAAATCACATGTAGGCAGAGAGGCAGGAAGAGAGAGAGGGGGAAGCAGGCTCCCCGCTTAGCAGAGAGCCCAATGAAGGGCTCAATCCCAGAACCCTGAGACCATGACCTGAGCTGAAGGCAGAGGCTTAGCCCACTGAGCCACCCAGGAGCCCCTTAAGATTTTATTTTTAAGTAATGTCTACACCCAACATGGAACTCAAATCTACAACCCCAAGTTTAAGACTCCCATGCTTCACCAGCTGAGCCAGCCCGGCACACCCAACATATTACTTTTTTGTAAAGATGTATTCATTTTAAAGAGAGAGGGGGAGAGAGTACACAGGCAAACAAGGGGAGGGGCAGAGCGAGAGGGAGAGAGAGAATCTTTTTTTTTTTTTCAAATTTCTGATATTTTTTATTTTTTATTTCTTTTCAGTGTAAAGATTTTCAGTGTAAAAATTTTTTATTTCTTTTCATTGTTTTTGTACCACACCCAGTGCTCCATGCAATCTGTGCCCTCTGGGAGAGAGAGAATCTTAAATGCACTCCCTGTTAAGCACAGAGCCACTCATGGGTCTTGATCTCAATACTTTAGATCATGACCTGAACCAAAATCAAGAGTCAAACACTCAACCCACAGAGCCACCCAGATGCTCCAACCTGCCACTTTTAAACAAAAAATGAAGTAATTGGTTTTTAAAAAAATAATTTATATACCATAAAATTCACAATTTTGTGGTATAAAATTCAGAGATTTTTTAGTATATTCACAAGTTTGTGGAGGCATCACCACTACCTAATTCTATAACATTTTCATCACTCTAAAAATAAACTGAGACTAGCAGTTTATAAATAAACTAGCAGTCAGACATAATACCATTTTATATCAGCACATAGAGAGTCAAGCATACAATGGGTTAGAGAGTATGGCAAACGGTTTGTTAGGGGTATTACTAAAAATTAGTATAAAGTGAGTAAATTATCTATGGAAGAAAGTTACCTTAGGAAAGCCATTGGTGAGATAAGGACATCCCCACATTTCACCTAAAAACTGAAAGGTACATAAAGTCATATCCACAATTAGACAATAGTTGCTTCTGAAGAAATTATGTATCAAAATATGTGTTATGAAAGTTGTTTTTTGATTAAAACGATAAAAGACAAGTCAGAGATTTTCAGGTTCATGACATCAATGCTATTTTTCCTGTAAAATTACGGGGGGCAGTTTTATAAATAGCTGTACGACCATTTAATTACTGTAAGATGGAATTTACTAACGAATTGGGTGATCAAACCTGAGAGAAACAAACCTAAATGGTTTCCCATTGCCTTTCAATCTTCACTTTCAGAGCAAATCTGTCTCCTCCAAGACTCTGACCTTCATCTTACACATTTTTAACTACACAGTGCCCAGCTTTCAGTGGTAAACAGAGGATTATGATACCAGCGGAGCTGCCAGACGCTCAGACAAAGCCTCTATGTTCCCAAGCTGCACACCAAGGTCTCCCTCTCCCTCTGCACTATGCTAGGCCCAGTCACAATTG